GGAGCCTGCCAAATCAAGACGAGATTTTGATACTTTTTTTTTGCTAAAGCTGTATAGAAGCTGAGCGTAATTTTTTGCGATGTAGCCAAGAACTGGGTACATTTCCAGTAGGAAAATTAGCTTATTGCCCTTCATAAAAACAGCTTTTTTGGAAGAAATTGAGACAGCCATGAAAACATTTTCACCATTACGGATGCAAAACAGGCAGTTTGGGTTTTTCATACGTAAATACATAAAGCTGACCTATCCATCTACAATGGTGTCTAATGTTATAAGTTCTCGTTCAGATCGAATATCGACCCAACGAGCGGCGCAAAACGAATTGAACTGTTAGTATTTTTAGAATTTCTTCCCCTTACACTTAATTGAGCTAGTTTTTTACCAAAAGGTTCTCCGTTGAATTATGTACAAAAAATGTATTAACTGTTTTATTGCAAAATCTGACGGTGTAAAATCCCATGAGAAATTGTGAGAAATATCAAAATATAGAAAAAATAAACGTAGTTACAGTTTTTCCTTTACTATTATCTGCTAAAAGTTTGTGAGAGAGCAAAGCTGAAGTAGTCATCGTTTACACCTCGAAAGCTCCATTTTCCATCTATAACACCAAATTTCGCCAAAAAGTACTTCTCATAGGGGATGAAGTTCAAGTACGTGGGGGTTATCGTTGGACTACTAGCAGGTGACAAAATTTGAAAATAATCGTTTTGTTCCACCCCACAGAAAAAAGAGGTAAGGTGCCGGCAATCCAAAATTACAGCAGGAAAGTTTTTTTCTCTTTTTTGGCATGATTGGATAGAGCTCATCAAGTTGCATGGGAAAACACAATCCCGCTTTTTAAGAAGTGGGTTTTTGGTGGAAAAATCTAAAAATACCCATTTTCTGAAAATAATCAAAATCAGTGAAATTTCCGAAAACAAGAAAAGTTGTCATATTTATTATTTTTCTAAAATTCTTTTCCGAAAGACTAATCATTAATTGTTATTTTCTTCTAATCAGTATGAAAAAAAGTAGGGAAAAAAGTATGCGAAGTTTTTTTAGAAATTTTGTTTCGTTGCTTAGAAAATTCAAAAAGTCGAAATTCTGCCCATAATTCTCAATTTTCTCTATCAGAACTCAACTTTTAAGCAATACGAATATCATACTTGAAATCAGGATCAAAAACTGAGTCGAGTGATATGTATTTCAAAAAGTTTAGTTGATTGTCAGTGTTGGGTAAAAATCTTTGAATTTGGCGGTCAGTTTCTATGTAACACATTTTCATGCACTATAAAAGCAGAGTTTGTTACTTTTAAAACTTTGTTTTATCACTTGTAGCGTCAGAAGATATTGCTACAAACCTTCTTACTGATGTATCCACAATCGAAATATTTATGCCCAAACTTCTATTTTCTAACATGACCTAAGCTTTTTATTCAAGATGGATCTTATCGTTGTGTGTTCATCATCCGACAAACTAAAAGACACAGTATTACAGGCTGGTGGTAGCACAGTATTAACAGAATATCAACAAAAAATAAAATCCAATTCCGGTTCACCAATATCTGTGGCAGCTGGACAACTATCATGCAAAAAAATACTTTTTGTACATTGGAAACCGAACAACAACGATGCTGCACTTCACCGTCAATCAATTCACGAGTTTGTTTCAACGGGAATTCAATATGCAATCAATGAAAACTTTATTACCGTAGCATTTCCAGCTATGTAATAATTCAAAAATTGTGTAAATTATTCTCATACAATAGCTTGAATGAATATCTTGATAGTACATTTATACTAGATGCTACAGTCATCGCAGAAATGACTGTGAAATAAATAGACTACTCACTTGGTTGTGGAGAGTACCGGTGCGATGTTAAGACCATAGCAAAAGAAATGATAGATGCAGCAAACAATCTCCTACGCACGATGGATTACTCGTTACATGTTTATTTCATAATTCAGCAACGACAACAGACCGTTTACAAGATTTTCACTGAGCAACTACAAAGTTCAAAACACAATCAGTCAGGTAACAGAACTACTGGATTATTAAATAACTAGTTTCAGAAGTACACAGGAAGAAATTTTGGACCGCTACAAATACTTTTAATCTGTTATAAAAAGTTCTCATAAATTACTTTCCTGTGACGAAATAAGGTATTCGAGCGCGTAAAAGTGAAAATTTCGCGCTCCTAATACGTGTGAGCGCATTAGAAAAACAAAAATGGTTTAAACATCGAAGGTCGAAAACACTGCTTGAACGCGTACCATGCGTTAAATCTACATCTAACAACAAAAATGTGTCCGAACGCATTATTTTGTCTAAAAATAGAGAAAATTAAGCCTTTGGAAGGCTTAGAATGTGTCAACAGGAGAATTTTAAGTTCTATGGATATTAGTCCGCATTAGAAAATCCAAAGGCGTTACATAGCAGACAGTGAAGAGTTTTATTTTCTCCTATAAACAGTAATATTCCCTGTTTTCTTCCTATCGAAAAGTATTCATCTTTAGAGTCGTCCGGAAATTTTTGTAGTAGGAATGTAGTGGAAAAAGTGAAATTTCTGCAGAAAGTCTAAAAGTGTTAGATTGCATTAAAAATGATTTTCTGCTTTTTTACGCCTTCGAATTCCTTAAAAATTCTTTCATAATGCGTTAAAATCCATTTGCTACCCAAAATTTTGTAGATGTCTCACTTTTGCGAGCTCGCACCTTTAAGGACAACGAAAACATTCGTAGCCATTAAAAGGCTTTTTTTCGATTTTAATGTATTAATAGTTTGTCGTACATTTTAACGCATTAATAATCATGAAAAAATGGAAAAAAAAAGTCGGTTTGTCCTGCTCCTTTATAACTTTTGTCTATCCGGCTGGATCAATATTCTTCTTGTTCTTTCTATGAGAAAGACCGTCGGGAAACACGATTAAAGGTACAGATCTAACTGTACGATTTAAGTCAGGATTAAATGACGTTATTAAAAGAGACTCTTTAACTAACAATCGATATTCAACCTTGTCCCTATCCATTATACACCGATTCTCCCAATCAACAGTGTGAGAGGTATCTTCATCTTCAACATGCTTTTGTAGAGCAGACTTCTCATCTTTAATGCTTGTGTCTGAATAAATCATCGATCTCATTGAGAACCTTTCGATCAGAGACATTCATTAGTTTAACTTGCTCAGTTATTTTCTGGGCAGCTTTTACTTTAGCTGCTCGAGCTGTTCTCACTGATTGTGTTGATGCGATAATACAGGATGAGTTCATATAAATAATGACTGAGATGATTGAGAACCATAGGTATCTTTAGGTAACCCATGTTCATAGAGTCGTCTACATGCTTTAGTTTTTACCCATATAATGTGAATCACAGTCCTTACATTTAACGTTATAAATGACATCAGACTTTAGGTAATTTGGTATGTTATCCTTAAAATTAAATAAATTTTGAACTGCTATTGGAGGCTTTTCAATTACTGCTAATTGTGAATCCGGTCGAATTTGACTAGTAAATTTTCGTAAGTCGTAGCGTGCGAAGTGCTTAACTGCCTAAGTTCGCGATATGATAGCTAAGGCGTTCACATTTATTGAAGAAAGAAATAATGAGAAAGGCGGAATAATGAGTTCAAGTGCCTACGTAAAGTTGAAACGAATTAACATACTTTGATTTTTAACGCATTCCCATGCATTAAATGACGACAACGGCAAACCATTCTTTACATATCCTGGAACCCTTAATTTGAGCAAAAACGTTAAGAATATTAATTCTGCTAATGCATTCGACTAGGGGTGGCATTTTCTCTTTCTTTCTCAAAAAAAAGGAAAGTAAAAATAAGAAAAGTATGATATAACTTTCTTTTATGTTTTTCTCGATGAATAAAACACTTTATCACAAAACCAAGGAAAGCGGGAAAGTAAAAAACTTTTCTTTCTCAAAAGAAATTTTTACTTACCTTTTCTTTGAGAAAGAAACAGAAATTGCCACCCCTACATTCTACTTGATGAATGAATTTAAATCAGTTGAGAAATGGGAATACGTTCGACCTACCTATTTTTTAACGCCTGAGAAGCCTTAGAGCTCTAAAAGTTTTCTAAAAATGTGATAATGCATTAAAACTTTTGCATAAATTATAAGCGTTGAGAAAAATAATGTTTTCGAATGCCTTCAGTTCTGATCGATAACTCGAGAGAACGCGTTAAAAATCTCAAGTCATGTAAAGTCTTGACATGTGTCAAAAGAAGAATTTTCAGCCCTGAAAGCCGAGAAAAACAAATTTAATGCCTGCAAAGGACCTGCGAGGTTCTAACATTTTTTCTTGGATATGCTTTCCTTTATTAACATGTACTTTTATCTTTCCGCGTTCTTGCTTAAACATTTCGTAGCTTTTGGTTTTTCTAATTTATTTAGCGTCACTGATGCAGGAAAGATGTGACAATCCTTCGTTTGTCTCTGATGAAGAAGAACAAGATTCGGATTGTTCCGATTCGCAGGCTCAGGAACTATCGTACAAACTGAAACCCCCATCTCATCAGTCGTCGATCTGTTCAACCCATGAGTCAGCTAATGAAAAGTCTCAATTCGTAACAACAAAACAAGAACAACAAGTTTTACTAATGTCCTGTAGTCCGTCTGTGTCCAAAAGTACTTCTTCTGATTCCTCGCGACCATCAAAAACTAAGTTTTCCGATATCTCGCAACCGATCGAAACTATACCTTCCGCTTCCTCGCAATCATTCAAAACTATGTCTTCTGATTCCTCGCGACGAACAAAAACTAAGTCTTCCGATATCTCGCAACCGATCGAAGCTATACCTTCCGCTTTCTCGCAATTATTCAAAACTAAGTCTTCCGATATCTCGCAATCGACCGAAACTATGCCTTCCGCTTCGTCGCAATCATTCAAAACTACGTCTTCTGATTCCTCGCGACCAACAAAAACTAAGTCTTCCGATATCTCGCAACCGATCGAAACTATACCTTCCGCTTCCTCGCAATCATTCAAAACTATGTCTTCTGGTTCCTCGCGACGAACAAAAAGTCAGTCTTCCGATATCTCGCAACCGATCGAAGCTATACCTTCCGCTTTCTCGCAATTATTCAAAACTATGTCTTCTGATTCCTGGCGACCAACAAAAACTAAGTCTTCCGATATCTCGCAACCGATCGAAGCTATACCTTCCGCTTTCTCGCAATTATTCAAAACTAAGTCTTCCGATATCTCGCAACCGATCGAAACTATGCCTTCCGCTTCCTCGCAATCATTCAAAACTAAGTCTTCAGATTACAAGCGAACAACAAAAACT